CCTATGAAGAAACTTGATTTTTTCATCAGTATGACTTCACAGATACAGGAGTTATTTTTGAAATGTTTTTCTCATTACGGAGCCTGCACTGTTCAGTATAAATATTCTGTATTTGGAAAATTACGTGACAATTTCGTGTTACATGAAAATAACGTGTTATTGTATAACAGATAATTCCTGCCACAAAGGATGATATTGATCAGCCAAATAACTAATGAAGGTCAGCCATTGCAGTGACAGATTCTGAGTGGTCAGTGTGTTATTGGCCATGAGTTATGATAGAGATATGAAAGTCCACAGGTGGGGATCTGCTCTGTAAAGAGGACTTGCCGTGCACTGTAAGTTAACTGGCTTGCTTTCACCTCAAATCTCCCTCTCTCTCCCTGTATCAGGATTAAATTCTGAGCATCTTGTTTCCTAAAATTAAAAATCCTGGTGGGTATGTGACACTTCATATATAGATCAACCTGAAATGTCTTCTTAACTAAATTCACTTTTTATCAGCCTTTACAGCCTGGACAGCTCGAAAGGCTCTTTTAGCTCTTGATCAGGTTATCTAGATTTTACCTTTGTGAATGGGCTCTAACTGCTTCTCTGGCTTTTTAAATGGCAGCTAGCGTGGCTCCTCATCCTTCTCCATAGTGGGGAGTAATTGGACTCTACAGTGGGGAGATTTCATCGCAGGTTATTAAGTTTAAGAGATACACTCTTCCAGGTCACGGCCCCAGAATCCTTTCATTCTGACCAAGCACCACCCCTAACAGCAATAAACTAGGTGTAGTGGATTGACACTAGTGGTGAACTTGTAACCCCCAGCTGAACTGAGTAAGCGTGGTGCTGGGTGTGGGAGGCCCACCTGGGGACTGTTGCCAGCAGCTTAACAGGCAGAATTTGAGAAGGAGAAGGAGGCTTTTGGGAGTAGAGAAAGGCTGTTGCGAGCTGGTAGAAGCTGTAAGGAGCTGCTGGTTCTGTTGAACGAGCTCGTCATGCTGGCTTTCCCGATGAACTTGGCTGTTTTCATTCTCTGAGGAGCTTGGGACCTTGTTGGCACTGAGAATAGCTTCGGTTCACTTTGGGGGAGCTCTGGTCCCGACTTTGAGCATCGCTTCCTGGCTCTGGAGGGGAAGATGGTGCACTGCCAGTCTCCTGGAGAAGCTTGTTGGGTTGGCTTTCCTGATGGGAACTCAGCTGTGTTCACCCCTGGAGGAGCTCAGGACCTCACTGTTGCTCAGGATGGCTGTGGTACTTTTCAGGGGAGCTCTGATTCTTACTTTGAGCATTGCTTTCTGGCTCCAGTGCAGATCCCTCAGCCTGCTAGCATGGATCCTTCATCCCACTGGAACAGACTTCCTAGATTCCACCACTGACCTTTGGGCCTTCCCAGCACAGATCTGTGAAACATGCCTGTATGAGATAGTGTTATAGGCTCTAGGCCTCCAGCTGAACTTGTGGGAGGCACCGTTATGAGTTCTAGGTCTTCAGCTGGACTCATGTAAGACATTTCCATGGGATCCAGGTCTTCAGCTAGATTTCTTGGTCTATAGTGTGTGGACAGATTTCCTGCACTGTCTTGTACATTATTCTTTGGGGATTATTATAAATAATCTTATGAAATATGTGTCTTGTATTATATTGTTCCCTTGGAAAATATCCCCCAAACCACAACACTAGACTCAGAAAGATAAGCACCGCATGTTCTCATGCATATGTAAAGCTGAGAATGTTGATTTTATGGGAGCAGACAGTAGAATAATGCAGTGGAGGAGAGGAAAGCTGGGAGGAGGTTCACACACAGTGGTTGGAGCCTGGTTAACATAATGCAGTTAGATAGGAAGAAGAGGTTATAGTGTTCCACAGTTTAGTGGAAGAACTAGATTTTACTACTTTTTTTTTTTTTGGTTTCTTTCCAGTACTGGGAATCGAACTCACGACCTCACGCTTGCCAGGCAGGTGCTGTGCCGCTGAGCTAAATCCCCAGCCACGAGCAACTTAATATATATTTTAGAGAGAAGTACAAGAGAGGAGTCTAGAGGCTCTGACCATTAGGAAATGATAAGTAATTAAGATGAAAAGGGCCATTACTTCTACTTGATCATTATTCATTGTATGCATGTATTGAATTATCACATATAAATATGTGCAATTATATTGTGTCAATGAATAAGTTTTCAAAACCACTAGCACTACCTCATAGAACTGTAAAACAACAGATACTTCATATTCAAACAAAAAAATTCAAGAAAATCAGAAAAAATGGCTTGCTAAGAAAATACATCCTTCTCTTATAGCTGATCCTCGAGGGACAGCTTTTGAGTTTCTCACCATTAACCATAATGTTAATGTTAATTGCAGTTTTAGAATATGAGCTAAGCTTGAGGGCATTCCTCTTTATTCCACGTTTGTGAGGAATGCCATCAATGAACACTGAATTCATCAAATGATTTCACCGCATTTGTTGAAATGAGAGTGTTTCTACTAGCGTATGTTGATGTGATAGATTGTATTAACTGGTTTTTGAATGCTGAGCTTATTAGACTTTTAACAAAAGACTTACAGTAATTCTTCTCAAGCTATTCCATAGAAAGGAAAGGGAGAGAACCAATCTGAATCATTCTATGTGGTCAGCATCACCCTACTAACAAAACTGGTGAGGATAAAGAACAAAACCACAAGGAGAGATGAAAAAGAAGGAAAAAAGAGAAAGAAAGAAAGAAAGAAAGAAAGAAAGAAAGAAAGAAAGAAAGAACAAAGAAAAAAGAGATGGAGAGAGGTAGGAAGAAAAGTAAAATTAGAGACTAATAGACATAAATGCAAATATCTTCAACGTAATACTTGCAAATGAATGTGCAGGATATAGAGAGCAAGAAAACTGAATTTATACACCATTGATAGGAATGTAAATTAGCAGAGCCATTACAGAAAACAGTGTGGAGGTTTCTCAAAACCCAAAACCAGAATGACCATGTGATCCAGTTATTTTATTCCTGGGTATATATCAAAAAAAATAAAGTCAGTATACAAAAAAAGTCCCATTTACTGTGGCACTCTTCACAATAGCTGAGATATATACTCATCAGAAGATGAATGAATAAAGAAAATATGGTCTGTACAAAAATGAATATTCTTGAGTTATAAAGATGAGTGACATCCTATCATTTCTAACAAAATGAACGGAACTGGATAATGTCATGTTAAACAAATGGAATAAGCCACACACAAAAGAACACGATCACATTTTCTGTCCTATGTAGAAGCAAACAAATGTGACTGAGGGTAGGAGCAGAACTACGAAGGGCTTGGGAGAGTCCTCTGGGCTCAAGAGTAGAAGGAAAATGTCTGTGTTCACCACAGCAGGTGTGCAGATAAAGACATAGCACAGTGAATCACACTAATCTGTACCTCCCACATGCTTTAGTAGTTAGAATTAAAAAGTCATTTGAAGATCAACATATCATGAAGATAATCTATTATTTCTAATGAGAAAGCTTTGCAAAATTTAGTGTTGCATTTTTTAACCTTTCTATTTGTCAATGAATACTAAATATATCACATACTATGAAGAGTTGTGGGTGCTGAAATGACCAAAAATCTATAGTTAGGTGAATCATTTATATGAATTGAAAGTAAATTATTTTCTTTGATAGTGAGTTTCTTTTAACTGCTTCTGAGTTGATAAATGTTATCAGTAGCAAGCTGTTCTTCTTTCATTTGAAAAAAAAATTACCTGAGCATTAGGAATATTCTAAGGACATACTGGGGGTAGGAACACCCTGTGTAACTTTTTGCACAGCACAGAAGTTGAGGAACTGAAATAATCCAAACAATAGCAGTATGCACAGGTGAGCCAGTGCATTTCTAATGTACACCTTTCATTTTGTATTTTATTCTTTCTCCATTTTCATCTATCACTCTAACATAGTTTGATTACATGAATTTTGATAAATTCACTATCTTAATTTTTTATAAAGTACTATTTGAAATACACAGAGAACAAGTTATGCAACATATAAGAACAAATATGCCAAAATTAAATTATGCTACCAAAATCACATCTGAGTAATTTATTTAGGACTTGTTCATAATTTTCCACAGATTGTTTATTGACAATTAATTGAGATACACATTAAGAGGACAAAATCACAACATGGGAGCTAAGAATTTTAAAGTTACTGCAACATGGTTAACAAGACAGTATAAATATTAAAATATATTATTTTTTAAAACATCATTATTTTAAATTACTGGTAGGAGACAACTGATGATTTGATCAGATTAGGTTTTGTTTTATATTCTCCAGAGTCCAGTCACCCGGAACAAGAAAACTGCTCTAAAAATTATATTTTAAAAAGAGTAGCTGGGCGTGGTGGCACACACCTGTAATCTCAATACTTAGTAGGCTGAGGCAGGAGGATTGTTGTGGGTTCGAAGCCAGCCTGGGCTACATAGTGAGCTGAAGGCCAGCCTGAACTGCATAGTGAGACCCTGTCTCAAAAGGAAAAAGAAAAGGACATTTATAAAGAGAACAATAAAAATCTTTTTTAAAACCTCAAACATGATGTCTTATCTATTTATTTTAAAGAGAATAAAAAATAAAAAAACAATAAAAACGATACAGAAGTTCAAAAAAAGATGATAGGAAATTAACAGTGGTTGGTATATTGCATATTGACACCCTCAAAGTAGTTGTTCAGAGATAGGCTAATTCTTAACAAAAGAGACGAGACTTCAGATTAGTCAGTTGAGCTGGTATGTGCCGCGTTTCTCCAAAGTGACTGCTATTGTCTCTTTCTACTGTCTAGTGTTGAAATCAGTCACCAGATTCCGTGTGGGCTCAAAAGCACTGGTGGGAGAGGACACCTCAGCTCTCCCTTTTTGAGGGGTAAATATTATTTTATATATATATATATATATATGTAATATATGCCACATATATAAATATATAAATGATTTATGTATATTTTATAGATATATATGATTTTGAATTGTATCTTAAGGAAGATTTAAGGAAAACTGTGGCCACATTCTACTGTGAAATTTATGCGGATGAGTAACCGAAAGTCTTCATTGATTTTGACATAAAGAAAGCCGGGGTTACTTTGGGAATAGCAGCTGCAAGTTAATTGCAAGGACAAAGTGCGGAAGAGTGGGAAGAAAATGAGTGGCAAAGCGTAATTAAAGACAGCACACGTGAACACTTGCTTAGAGATGCTTAAGCAGGCGGAGCTACCACAAAAACCCTGCCGCCCAAGAGCTGTGTGACAGTAACATCATCAGTTATTTTAGTTTAGTAATATTGTGTTCTGGTAACATGATTCTCAATCTTAGTCTGGTGTTCTAGTGGCTTTAGTTATTGGAAAATGAAGCTTTTAGAGTTGTTACCTTGATTAAATTTGTTTAATTTAAATCACAAAAACACCAAAATTCAAAGTTATTATAGATCATGTTTTACTTTTTAATCCTTTGTATGAAAGAGGATTTCTGTACAATGAGAAGCAGATCCAGACAGAAAAAAGACTATTGTTGGAAGCTACTATGCCTACAATTTTCCTAGCAGCGCAGCTCGGATCTAAGCAGATGACTTGGCCCTACTCACGTGCTCAGGCCGTTCATAAATTTTGCCTTCGCAGTTGCAGGAGGCCTTGCAATGGTTCTTGACCATTGTAAAATTACAGGTGAGATCTCTTTTCATATCTGCACAGTTGGAAAATTCATCTTGATAATCACAACCATTGGCTGAAATAAAAATAAAAGTCTTGCGTTATCACTGTTCTCCATAGCAACCACGGGAGCAAATTTGGTAGCAACAAGGAGGAAACTGCACAGGTCGGCGCAACCCACTGCGATGACAGTTTCGCCCCTTGACGAACATGCAGGTTCCGTTAGTTAAACTCAGGGTGATCCTTCTTAAATCTTAAACTTCTTAAACTCGAGTGTTTTGAAATGTTGCTAAGATGAATCATCTTACTTTCTTCTCTAAAAAGCGTTGAGTAAAATTAAGTGAATTTCTCAAGACCTACACTCTCTGGAAACGGTACTGACAAGCTGTGTGCTTCTTTCAGCTGAAACTTAATTTAAATTAACATTGTATGTCTTCAGCGGCGCAGTTATATTCCAAGCGCCAATGCATACTCTACAGGACAGTGAAGACACTAACTGTTTTCATTATTGCTGAGAGTGAGGCTGGAGAGTGTTGCTCTAGAGTCAAGACTGATGCCATGAGGGATTCCTGCAAGTGGTCTTATAGGAAGACAAAGACGCAGAGAGGTAAAAGGCGGAGACACTATCAATATGATTATTTGATACTTCTACTTCAGTGTTTCTGGGTGGCCACAACTGAACAGGTCTCAGCCTAATATATCATGCTACATACAAAGCTTGACGTTTCCTTGAAACCTCACCCTACGACCTCTTTTGAAGTCACCGGGTGTCGAGAAATGGCGCGCTCCCAATTACTAAATCATTCAAACCAGGAAGCAGGAAACAACAGGAACTTCATGTTTTATATTTTTTTTTTCCTTTCCTGAGCTGGGGCTCAGAACGTTGCCGGGCTGGTCTTGTACGCTTATACTCAAATGATCCCGCTGTTTCATCCTCCCAGTACCTGATACCATAGCTGGGCACCACCACGCCCAGCTCTCTGTCCTCTTTTCAGCGCTTGTAAATACACTGGTACCTCTGTTCACGAGCTCTGCTCTTTCCACTATTCTGGTCACAAGCCGAGTTTGAGAGGAACAGAACCAAATTCAGTGGTTAGGTTCAATACTGCCCTTATGGGGAAATGTGATTCAGTTCTCATCCAGTTGGGTTTGCAACCAGAATCATGGAGAGAATTGAGTTCAATTACACGTAACAAATGTTGAATATTCTACTTTTCCCTTTTTCTCTCATACTTATCTTCTTCTCATTCCTTTTGGTACTAACGTAGGAAAGCTATCCCTTCTTTTAAAGTCCAGGTCTCCTAGCTGGCTTTCATCTAATTGTTTCTTCATACTATTTCCAGCGGCTCCTCATAAAACACAATTCTGACTTGGCCACCTCTATTTAAAATCACTCAGTTGGAGGGCTGGGGATTTAGCTCAGCGGTAAAGTGCCTGCCTGGCAAGCGCAAGGTCGTGAGTTCAGTTCCCGGTACCGGAGAAAAACCAAAAAAAAAAAAAAAAAAAAAAAAAGGAAAACTTCTGATCTCCTGTCATCTCACACATAATTAATTAACCAGGTATCTTATATAAGAAAAAAATGAGATGTTTAGCTTACAGGGTCTGACTTATTTTATTTAACTCAGTAATCTCCAGTTTCCTGTACTTTCTTGCAAGTGACACGATTTCATTCTTCATGGCTGAATGATAATCTATGGTGTAGCATACCTAATTTTCTTTATTCATGCAGCCTCTGATGGGCACCTCACCTAGTTCCTCAGCTTAGCTATTGTGAATTGCTCTGACATGAGCATGAGTATGTGTATATCACAGCAGCATGCTGTCTTTTATTCTTTTGGAAACATATGCAGAAGAGATATAGTTGGATCAAATGGTATTTATATTTTAATTTTTTGAGGAGCGTCTATACTTATTTTATAGTGGCTATACGAGTTCACATCCCTACCAACAGTGTAAAATGGTTTCTGATTCCCCACGTTCTCACCAGAATTCATAGTTTTTTTGTGTTTTAATATCATTAATATTCTGAATCATGAGTGTTCAATTCAGTCAGAAAGCCCGCTGAAGTTTCGGCAGGGGAATGCTTTTAAAGAGTCAAAATCACAATGAATAAGTCAACTCATGTGTTCATAGTAATTTTAACAACATATTCCAATTGAACACAAATACTTTTGCAGTTCTATTCTCAGACTGGAAATGAGATAGTATATGGTATTCACTCTCTTTGCTGAAATCTTTGTGAGGCTTTGTGAACTAATACTAGACATAAATTTGATCTTTGGCCTTTAAAAATGTACATAAACTTACTAGCAATCAGAAATGCTAGTGTTTATTAAATTTGATGGTTGTAGGCACAATACGGTAGAGGAGTGAAATCTACTGTGGGATACTCATTGGTGCTTGAAGAATTTCAGTATGTGATGTGCTTCTCTGCCCTGAGCTGCAGTCTATCATTTCAAACTCCTGTAGATTTGTGTTCTATTTTAGAAATGCCAATTTTGATATAATAGCATTGTCCTTGATTGTATGAATTTAATTAATGTAATTATAGTGAATTATTCTCCCAGAAAAATTTTTATAGATTCATATGTAAAGGGCTCAGTATCCAAACAATATAAATGGATTTTGGATGTTTGTATTGCATATAGTAACAACTTTTTTTCTTTTAGGGAACTGAGACTCGAACCCAGGGCCTCACACTTGCTGGGCAGGTGCTGCGCCACTGAGCTAAACCCCCAGCCCCACACATAGTAACAAAATATCATTACAAATAGTACATATGTAAGGAAGAGTATAAATACTGTACTTAAAAAGGCTCTGAAAAGTGGTATTAGTCTTGAATGAAGACATTCTTAAGTTTGCTTACATTCAGAAGTTTGCTTAACTCTTACAAAGTTTATTATGTGATTTTATGAACTAGAAAGTTAACCCTTCAAACTTACTGCACAGTCCGTCCTCACAGTGACCCGGGCAACTGGCGCAGGGGGTTCCTTGCTTGTAAGGGGTGTACAGTTTCCCCCTGATGTTACCACTGAAATTTGAAAGGCAAAATGTCAAATATATTATTTTAAAATTTTCTGTTCAGTTTATACTCATCATAACATATATATATATATAGTATCTAAGTATTTCAAATAATTAAACAAGTATATAATTTCCCAGATGTATTCAAATAACAGTGACCCGGGCAACTGGCGCAGGGGGTTCCT